TTCCTTCTGTGATACTTGTTCAGTTCCTCACAACCTGTCCTGTAGCTCAGTAGTTTGAGCACTTGCCTTGCAAACGAGAGACCTGGGTTCGATTCCTGGGCAGTGTGAAAAATTCAGCAAGTTTCCTTACTCTGCACACCTCTATTTACCTTGCAGTAAGTAGGAACCCCGATTGTTCAGTCGATTGGCAGATCACTTTTCCGGGGGTAATAATCCCTTAAAAAAAAATTTGGTCACTCAATCCACGACTGTTTGTGGGACACTGCTGTGTGCAATTGGCTCCCGCGTTTCACCCATATAATATACAGTCAATTCACAATATATTTTACAGTATATTCTGTGAAGCGCTTTGAGAAGCCTCAAAGATGTGATAAGGCGCTATATGAAATACAAGGATTATTTTAACCTCACTCTGGCTACCCAGCCAGCAGCTGATTTGAGGTTTATTGCAGTCTGACTGTGTTAAGGGCCAGGAGACAAGGTTCACCTCTCTCTCTCCCCTTCACACATACATACCTCACACCCACACACAGAGGAACGTGGACAATCAGACTCACACAAACAAAGACACACATAGACTTACACAGACAAAGGCGCACACACACACACACACACCAATGCCTACACACACATACAGACATACACAAGGACATGCACACAAGCATACACAGTCACACACAGGCATACGGAGATACAAAGACATACAAAGTCACACACACACACTGATACGGACACATACATACAAACAAATACACATACAAACATAGACATAGGCTGGGAGCAGTGTTGAGGCAAAATCCACATTGGCCGTCAAGAACTAGACCAATATAATAATAATAATAATAATAATCCTTGCATTTGATATAGCACGTTTCACGTTGGGAGGACGTCCCAAAGCGCTTCACGGAACACACTGTAAAGTGAATTGACTGTATATTTGTGGGCGAACGCGGCAGCCAATTGCGCACAGCAATGTCCCACAAACAGTCGTAGATTGAAAATGACCAATTTATTATTGTTTTTGGTTTTTGGAGGGACTATTATTAGGCTCTGTGTGGAGTAAGGAAACTTGCCCAAGGTTTCGCCCTCTGCCTGGAATTGAACTCAGGTCTCTCACTTGCAAAGCGAGTGCTCTAACCACAGAGCTACAGGACTCCACAAATATCTTAAAAATATCTTAACAGGAGTGAGCTACAGGAGTGTGGGGATAGGGCAGGTAAATGGGACTAAGAGGATTGCTTTTGAGGAAGTAGCACAGACACGATGGGGGCTGATGACTGTATTCTGTGCCATACATCTCTGTGGTTCTATTATGTTGGGCTGGTGTGCATGCTTCCTGGAACCAGTCAGAGATATCTGCAGCCAAGTAAATCTAAGCGTTTGTACTGGGAGCACAAGATATGGCACAGGTCTTTTCGAAACGCAGAACAATGCACCAACATAATTGATTTGATATTTTTGACCAGCTCACGCCATAGCTCCAATGCCAAAAGGCCAGTTCCAGTTTCTCTATGAGCCTAACTGATTGGTTAAAGTCCCTGCAATCCTCTGAACTGCTTCAAAAATCATTAACCCACCTTTGGCAATGTTATGAGTGACTTAACGAATGTGGACCTGGCTTTTATAATCAAGATTTCCCAGATTACATTGCAGCTCAATGGATGTGCTTAAGGTTGATTTTTGAGTTGCTCTTTGAAAGTAATAGGTAATATATCAATAAAAAAACGGTCCCAAAGTGATCCATCGTAAGGTAATATGGTTTATTTGCTTATTATCGTTATCGGGATTGAAGGAAAGTGTTTTGCAAGACATGGTTGACTGACTTTGACACACTGGCTCCAACCCACTGGTATTACTTTATGTGGGGGGATGCAAAGGGATGATTAAGTGACTGAAAGTGTATTTACTGATAAAGTATTGCTTATGGTGTGCCAATAAGAGAGAGAGATTTCATGCATGATCAAAGTACAATGGAAAATACCCTCTTGACAGTCGCACTTTGTATTCGGGAAAGCCTAAAAATTTGTTGGGTCGAAATGACATTTGCTGTGACAAAAGACTTTCAAAATTCTGCCTTTTCGGACCAATACTGAGGGCTTTGCAGACAATGAAAGACTCACTTTATGGGGGAAGAGATGTGGGGGTGGGGGCTGGGGGGAGAGGAATGATGAGGGAAAGTGTGGTCAAAGAGGTAGCTCTTGAGACGGACCTTAACTTTGAAGCTGTTTTGTTTCGTTCAAACAGAAAAAAAGGCTTTGAAATTAAAGGCGTGTTTAAGAATTTGCCAAATTCCAGACTCTCTGAAATGCTATCATAAGAGAGTAAATCACCTCGACCCAAGTAAAATTTCTACCCAGTAACTTTTCCAAACGAGCAGTCTAAAAATGCCTAATGACAAGTATTGGACACACAGCAAAGCACAGGCAAATGGACCAAATAGGTGTGCGTTGAAAATCGTTATTATTATTTTGCTAGCGAGATGTTTCAGGTGCCCTTAAAGGATTAATTACATTTTAATTGTTTTATCTTTGATAAGATGATCTCCGTCTTGGCAGCAATTATTGAAGCAAGTGCCATTAGCGTTTGACTTAATGAGAGCACTTGCTCACGGCCCAGGCAAAGAGTCAAATTAACATAGCTTGTTAACTCCGAGGCAATCGAACAGCATTCACCTATTCACAAGATCGGTTTGGATGAGGAAGACCGTTCAGACCATCCAATCTCATTCATCCAGAACTGCCCCCTCTCCTCCCACCATCAGAGTGTTAAACTGCTTTTCAAATGTCTTGGCATCCACCACCTTTCCTGGGAACCCTGTTCCAGTCATTGATTACCCTCTTGTCAAGAAGCTTGAGGAGAAACCCCATTCGAAGATGTTTATCCATGTAAGTATTAAATGTGAGGAATGCGGTATTCAAACAGCCAGAATTCCAGGGGGAAAAAAGTAAGGTTTCTATTTTCGTGGGGAAAAAAAACTAAGTGAGAAAATGAGAAAAGAAAATTCTCAGTTGATTTTCAAAGTTTGGAAAGATTGGGAGGAAGAAAGTTAAAAGTTCAAAGTTCCGTTGGGCTCGTGGAATTGACACGAGATGTTGTTTCACCGTCTACACAAGATTTTAATCATAAACCTTGTATTTGATATAACGCCTTATCGCGTCATTGAGACGTCCCAAAGCGCTTCACAGAATTTACTATAAAGTGGATTGACTGTGTATTTTGTGGGTGAATCGCAGCAGCAAATTGCGCACAGCAGCGTCCTACAAAAAGACGTGGATTGAGATGACCAAATTATTCTTCTTATTTATTTTTTAAGGGATTATTATCCTCAGAATGTGATCTGCCAATCGTCTGCCAACCTGGTTCCTACTACTGCAAGGTAAACAGAGGCGTGTGGAGTAAGAGAGTAAGAGTAACCCAACCTAAGGTTTTGTGCACCCCCGCTCAGGAATCGAACCCGAGTCCTCTAGCTTGCGAGGCAAACATGCTAATCAATACACCATAATGTTGTAAATGTCCGAGCTAGTTCCCTAAAAGCACTGAAAGATTCCCTTTCAAATAACGTCTGTCCTCCTGTCTGCGAGGATGTTTTTTCTCTCTCTTTTTAGTTTAAAGCCATTATGATGCTTTGAGGCTTTTTGTTGTGAAAACGCTGAAAAACCCAGATTAGATTAACTCATTGACGGTGGGTTAAATTGATCGTTTTGCTGAAGGTTTCCAACTGAGGCAGATCTTCCCTCAGTGACTGACAGCACTGTCTGACTCACCTGTGTTCCAGTTTAGCCACATCAAAGCTGGCACTTGAGGTAAATGAGTGATTATTATTAAATTCAATTTAAAAAAAGCAGTTGGCACTGGATGTGGTATTTGCATTAATTAGACAGACACAGTGTGTGTCTTGTGAATTTCACAGGCCTTCCCTCCTGTTCTGAGAGATGTGAGGAAGGTGTGATGAGATTTCAATCTGAGTAGCTGTTTTTATTGCTAGTTCTAGTGAACAGGCAGATGGGTCTGTGGTTTGATATCTTATCTGAAGGACGGCACCTGCTTCTAACTAATGTTGTCTTGGTGTCGCACTGCAGTGTCTGCCTGATCTCTGAATTAAAGACAAGTGTTTGTTTATTGGCAGAGCAGTCTCCTCACTTTACGATAACGTCAGGAAGGGAGAGAGCAACACTGAGCACGGTGGGAACAGTACATCCGATGAAAGCCTCTGGGCTGATTGAATGAGGACTGTCGGAAGAAAAAAACACCCCCTTGCCTGGAGAGAAGCACCACCTGGTGGTGTTTCTTAAGGCGTTCCTTAAATGAGCTAAGGAATACTTCAAGGAATGCTGCAAGTTTTCCCCTGCATTCCATTTCGACACTGTGCCTTTACATAAGTGCCTGAACTTTGGAGCAAGCACTGGAAACCAGTTGATTCCTGGTTAAGTTTGATGTCGCTGTAGGACAATGGCAGGCTTTCATGTTAACAAGTTACTCAGTAAAAGGATTATTCATTTAATGCTGATGGGAAGGGATGCGTAGAAGGTTTTTAAAATAACTTTCCGTCATCAACTTTATTCATTCCGTTCCCAATTTCTTCCCCTTCCGATGTGAAACAACATTCCCCAGTAAAACAGTCAGTATCTTTTGTTGTTCAAACGGATGCTACATCCCCCCCACATTTACCCACTTTGAGCCCTGTTTTACAAGTTTGGCCCAATTTCTACGCAATCTTAAACTTTTAAAACAACAAAACAAAATTTCTCAGGCAGAGAGTCAGTGGCTTGAGGCAGAGTAATAATAATAACAGGAATAATCCTTGTATTTGACTTGTCAGGAAGACAACTAAAAACGCTTTCGCTGTAATGCGTAGTGACTGTGCATTTTGTAGACAGCCAATTTGCGCACAGAAAGTTTCCCACAACAGCTAAGGAGTTCAGGGTTCTAATATGGTGCAATGCAGGAAGAGTCTGCCGAGAGAGAGAGAGAAACAACTGAGAAGTTGATTTATTTTAACCAAAGGAGGGCAAAGGTTTGTTTTTTTTCTCTCTCTCTCTATTTGCGGAATGAGCCAGTGTAAGTGCGTCCAGAGACGGAGTGAGCGAGTGAGTGAGTGAGCCTGTTTGGGTGTCAGTAACGAGTTCTTCCAGAATGAAGCAAATGCAAAATAGTTTCAAGGTAAAAAAAAATTCTTCCTCTGGGGCATGAGTTTTGTTCTTAATTTATTCAGTTGAGTTTATATTCTGTCGATTTCAACAGAGGCTCTGGCCAAGTAATCCAAGTTTCACTCCGGCAGTGAAAAGGGAATTGTGATGGGATTTAAAGCAAACTATCTTAACTTTACTGCAATATTAATAATACTTACATTGTTATATGTGATAATCCTTATCACGCTACGATATGTCTTGCAGAGTTTTTACTGTGATGTTTAATGACTGTGTGCTTGCTGGTCACAAACAATAACAGAGAACAATCCTTGCATTTGACACAGTGCCTTTTCAACGGCGGGAGGACGTCTCGAAGCGCTTTGTTCCTGAAGTGTAGTGACTGCGTGTTTCAAATATTAATAATAATCCCTGCATTTGATATAGCGCCTTATCACGTCGTCGAGACATCTCAAAGTGCTTCACAGATTATACTGTAAAGTGAATTAATTGACTCTATATTTTGCGGGCGAAATGTTTTTCTCTCTTCCACCCCCCCACCACAATTATTTATTTTTTGTTTGAATACTTAGGTGCAGCTTCAGAATCTGTCCCTCTCCCCTGCAATTATGTTCGTGCTTGGGCAGGTGGTGGGTGGGGGGAGTCTGTTTATGATTTGCTGTGTGATTTTTTGATATCGGATATGGTTGCCTGTATGAGCCTTTTCCTGGTGGATAGCTATTTGTTAGGTCAGGGTACCAAGGGATATGGGGCAAGGGCGGGTAATTGGAGTTGATGTACAGATCAGCCATGATCTTGTAGAACGTTGTAACAGGCTCGAGGGGCTGAATGGCCTCCTCCTGTTGCTATGTTTAAATGTTAATAATAATAATAATTATTATTATTATTAACTGTTAATGCCAGTAGGTGTGTGCAGTACTAGAATTTTCTTTTAGTCACTTTCCCCAATTGATTGCCTCACGGATAAAATGAGTCATTGCATGGCTGTTTGCATGATGTCTCTTTGGCTGCTGCTTTTGCCTACAATATGCACAGTCACTGTGCCCATCTCAAGACCTTCCTTTTAGACCTTGCCACGTCCACCCACTGTGCCCTCCACCCCTCTCTGATGCCAACCCCCAGCTCGGGTGCAACGCCCCGCCACCCCCCCCCACCCATCGTCCAGCGCCTTGATCTGTCCTCCTGGCATAAAAGGCTCTGTCTAAATGCAATTTGTTGTTGTAAAATCCTGTGACTTTTCAGATGCGAAAGGCACCATAATGAATGGAATGATCATTATTGGCCGTGTTTGATCGATCGTTTGATTGATCTACCAGTGTGCATGTTTTCCGCAGAAAGCGATTCCAGGCTCCGACACTGAGGAGATAAGCGATGGCAACTCCCCGGCTGATCAACAAATGGACAAAAAAGTAAGATACAAATCGGCGTAAAGACTGAGTAGGGATCACGAGATTGGTTCAGGTGAAGAAGATCCTTTGGCCCACCTGATCTCAGCCCTCCAGAACACCCACCATACAGTTTACCCCACCCATCACAGCATCGAGCTGCTTTATGAACAACTTAACCCCTGCTTCCTGGCAACCAGTTGTTAATTCCCTTCAAAATAATAATAATAATTTGGTCACTCAGTCCACGACTGTGGGACACTGCTATGTGCAATTGGCTGCCGCATTTCACTCACAAAATACACACTCAATTCACTTTATGGTATATTCTGTGAAGTGCTTTGAAACATCTCAAAGACATAAGGCGCTATATCAAATGCAAGGATTATTATTATTCAATCTCCATGGAACAGGGAGGAGAATCTGAACCAGTATTTCTGCTCCTGATCATTGATTAGTGAAGACTGAAGACCTTCCTCTTCAACTGTGCCGCTGGTCACCTCCTCCCCCTCCCTGGCTCGGTGTCGGGCTCTGCTGTTAAGCGCTTCGAGACACTGCCACGTGTAAAGGGCTCTATATAAATGCAACTTGTTGTAGTGACTTATGCTGGGAAATCCTTTGCGCGCGCGTGTGTCTGGGTGACGGCGGGCGAAACGCTGACCTGTGTGCGTTATACACTGTGAGGGTGTGTGATACAGTGTGGACGTGTCTGCTTCTTAGGATGAGAATTGCAATGAGACGTCACAGGAAACCTCGTCCCCACCAGCCGCAGGTTTTGATATGATCTACAAAATCGAAGATGTTCCACCCTGGTATCTGTGCATCTTACTTGGCTTTCAGGTATTCTGTGCAGGTTGGGCTGCTTGTCTAATTTTTGGGGGTATAAAACTACCTACATTAATATTTTTTATATATATATATATATATAATTTTGATATCATATATATCAAGGGTAAAAATGGAGATTCTTACCATCTGGCTGCCGTGGTCTAATAAAACGAGATTGCGCCTCTTCGTGTATCAGTGTTGTAGAGGTTGAAAATGTTCGCCTGCGTTTGGCGAGACATCAGTGACCATGAGCTGCCGCCCGTGTTTCACTCAGTCAGGGCAGAGCTGAGGTTTAACACGTTGCTAGGTGGGCCAAATGGCCTGTTCACCACATAACTCTGTGTAACTCTGTATAATTCTGTGTAATATAACCTAGAAATATAAATATATACATTATATATGTGTATATATAACCCACTGCCTCCATCCCCTCCTTCCCCATTTTCAAAACCTTCCTCTTCGACCGTGCCTACGGTCACCTCCCCTCTCCCCCCGGCTCGGCGACGTGCTCCGCCACAGTAAAGCATTCTAGGACGCCACCCTGCGCGAGGAACGCTATGTAAATGCAAGTTGTTGTTGTAACTCTATATCACTCTGTGTCACTGTGTAATTGTGTGCTTTTGGCTGTAGCACTATTTGACGTGTTTCAGTGGGACCATCGCAGTGCCTTTCCTCCTGGCGGAGTCCATGTGTGTGGGAAAGGACCAGTACACGGTCAGTCAGCTGATTGGCACCATCTTCACCTGTGTGGGCATCACCACCCTCATACAGACCACATTTGGATGCAGGTCTGTGTGTGCATCGAGACGTCGTCTTGCCGTGAAAGGCGTCGTGTCTAACACAAACTTTATTATTATTATCAATACATTTTAGGAAGTTTCCTTACTCCACACACACGCCTCTGTTTACCTAGCAGTAAGTAGGAACCCAGTTATTAGTCTATTGACGGATCGCTTTCCGGGAGTAATAAATCCTCCAAAAAATAAATTTAAAAAAAAAGTAATAATTTGACGCTGCTGTGCGCAAATGGCTATCGCGTTTCGCTCACAAAATATACAATCAATTCACTTTACAGTATATTCTGTGAAGCGCTTTGAGACGTCTCGAAGACGTGATAAGCCGGTGTATCAAATGCAAGGATTATTATTATTACTTTAATTTGATTTACCTCTGACATCCTAACCCTTCTCAATGTATTTGTTCCTCACGCCGCAGGCTTCCCTTATTTCAAGCGAGTGCTTTCGCCTTCCTCGTTCCTGCCAGAGCTATCCTAGCCCTAGACAAGTGGAAATGTCCTCCTGAAGGTAGGATGCATTTAAAGACTACAACGACGACATCAACTTGCATTTATATTGTGCCGTTCACTCAGGGTAGCCTCGCGGAGCGCATAGAATTGTGATTGTGTCCTTGCTATGTGAATGGTCCATGTCAAAGAATGAGAAAAACACCCAGGACAGAATGTATCTGTGTTGTCCCGTTGTGCTGCCCTGAAGGGAAGGTATTTTCCGAGCCACACAGCTGTTTTTATATGCCCTCACCTCAGTTGCTATTTAACTAACCGCTGCCTTTTTTTTGCTTGATTTAACAGATGAGATCTACGGAAATGGGACGGCGCCTTTCAATACAAGCCACATTTGGCAGCCACGAATGAGAGAAGTAAAGCGCTCGGATTTCCAACCACAGTAAACTCCTGCTAACTCATCGCTCCGAGGGCAAAGGGCTCAGTGACGAGTTATCAGGAGCATCGAGTTAGGCATATGTATAAATACATCAATAAATGCGACCGGGATATTGACTTAAGTGGTAGTTGAGTTAAGCCAGGGTTAGTTTATCAGGAGTTTACTGTATTTATCTTTGTTAAACGTATCGACGGCAGCTATTGATGCTCTATGTGCAGAGCCCCGGTTTGCCGGTAACCGGTAACCATAAACTCAGTAACTACCCACAAAATCAGCATTAACTGTCTTGGCTCATCTGTTGTCGCTACTTCACGAAAACAAATTTAGTTTACTTTATCTTGATCAGACCTTCCCCCCCACCGCCGTCTAACTTCATAGTAATTCTATCTTTCAACCAATTTTGCTTTTAAACAAACATTATACTAGGTTAGGTACTAGGTTAGTAGGTTCGTTCCTTGGTTCATTGATCAGTTGCCTTGGTGTATTATCACTAAAAAAAAATCCAGCACAACATATATTTACTGGAAACTTACTTAAATACAACAGGGATCAAAATTTGCAATATTCCTTAAAGGATTCCTTAACTTATTTAAACTTTTTGCCCCTCTGAGTCCTAATGGGGCCATATTTTTGCTGACTCTGGGCCGTTTTATTGTGTTTGTTTAATTTTACTCTCCCAGAATTTGCGAGGAAATTGTGATCGTTGGGGGCTTAATGCGAATTTTATTCCAGAATATCTTTTGAGTTTGAGCTTAGGTCGAGCTTTAGGTTTAATTTGCAACCTGTTCGTCATTTGCAAATGAAGAGCCTTTTTTTATATAGATATTTCTCTTCTCATAAAACAGATACAAGGTGCAATTATAGTGTCCAGTTTGATTGAAGTGGTGATTGGCTTTGTAGGACTCCCAGGGCTACTGCTCGGATACATAGGACCCCTTACCGTCACTCCTACCGTCTCCCTGATTGGATTGTCTGTCTTTCAAGCGGCAGGAGACAGAGCGGGAGCTCACTGGGGAATTTCTATCTTGTATGTATCTGCATCCACTGTCATTCCTCCCCTTCAACACACATGCTCTGCAATACAAAAAGAAAATTTGGTCACTCAATCCACGACTGCATGTGGGACACTGCTGTGCACAATTGGCTGCCACATTTAACCTACGAAATAGACAATCAATTCACTTTACAGTATATCCTTTGAGAGACATCTCAACGACGTGATATGGTGCTGTATCAAATGCAAGGATTATTATTACAATTTTTATTGTACAACACAATTCAATACAACGTGTCATCTTGGTTCAGTGGTAATAATAAACAATAATAATCCTTGCATTTGATCCAGTGGTAGCGCTCTCACCCCTGAGTCAGAAGGTTGTGGGTTCGAATCCCACAACAGGACCTGAACTCAATCTAAAGATGTCAGTCTAAATTGATGATCCAATACAGTGCTGTTGGTGTGTTGCATTGTCAGAGACACCGTCTTTTGGATGAGATGTTAAATTCAGGTCTTTTCTGCCTAATTAGGTGGACTTTAAAGATCCTGCGGGCACTATACGAAAAGAGAAAGGAGTTTCTCTCTCTCGGCGTCCTGGCCAACAAGTCCCTCAAATAAAACTGGTCATTCGTTTCATGGCTGTTTGTGGGACATTGCTGTGCACAATTGTGCTCCCGCATTTGCCTACAAATACACACTCTGACTCCATTTCACAGTAAATCCCATGAAGCGCTTTGAGATGTCCTTCCAAAGTGATAAGGCACAAGTATTCGGTTATGGCACTATACGAAATGCAGTTGCTTTGCAGTTCTGAATGACCTTTTACCGAAGCAGACACGTAAACCACAGGAGTCTGTCATACATTTTTCTGTGGCTGTTTTATTTCCATACGATTCATAAATGCTAATGTTGTGTTTATCAGAACCATCACCTTAATTGTACTGTTTGCTCAGTACCTTCGCAACGTGGATTTCATTCTGCCCGGCTACAAACGTAGAAATGGATGCACGACCCTGAGGATAAAGATATTCAAGATGTTCCCGGTAAACATGAAACTCTCCCCTTAACAAGTAAAGTCGCTGACGTCCACCATTTGTCCTAATGCTGATCTGCGGGTGACGTGTTAAACTGAAGTCTCATCTACGCCCTCTAAAGGTGGATGTTAAAGATCCCAAGGTGTCATTTGAAAAGAGAAAGGAGTTTCTTTCTCCCATTGGCTCTGCCCAACAATCCCTCAGATAAAATTGGCTTCATGGCTGTTTGTAGGACCTTGCTGAGCACGTATTGTCTGCCACGTTTTCGCCTACAAAGTACACAGTCACTACACTTTGAAGCAATTCCCTGCAAAGCGCTTTGAGATGTTCTGATGTTCTGTATCAAACTGCAGGAATTGTATTGTGAATATTGACTTCAACCAAGTGGTTCTTTTATTTTCACCTCTATGTGGTTTCAATTGATTTCTCCTTCTGTCACCGCCTTTTCTGTGTGACTTATAGCCAAGTTGTTTTTCAATCCTACACGTTAATTGTCCATTAATCCCGCGAGCTTGAACCTCCTTGTAAAAATCTCGAACGTGCAATTTTTTTTGATACAGCCTGACTTGTGCCTTCGTTATCCGGTCGTTTGGCTAATTCATTGAATAATTCATTGATTTTCGTCGCGGAATAATTTGATTGTAAATTTTCTTTTCCAGATTATAATGGCGATCATGGTTGTTTGGCTCCTCTGCTACCTTTTGACTGTCACTAACGTGTTCCCCAAAAACCCGGATGACTATGGCTTCAAAGCCCGGACAGATGCCAGAGGCGAAATCATGTCAACCGCACCCTGGTTCCGAATGCCTTATCCATGTAAGTTCTGTGGAGTCCTGTAGTACAGTGGTGAGTGGGCGTGTAGTGGAAACTTGCCTATGGTTTCGCCCCACCTGGGAATTGAACCCAGTTCCTCTGGCTGGTGAGGCACAAGCAGTGCGCTAGGGGACTCCAGAATGTATGGAGTGTGTGGAAAAAGAAGAAAAATGCAGTTGGACAGCAGAGTTTGGCTTCCCGAGGTGTTCCTGACTGTTCCTTTGTGGTTTGCCCTCCAGGCCAGTGGGGTTTGCCCACCATCACGGTGGCTGGCGTGCTGGGAATGTTCAGCGCCACGCTGGCTGGCATCATCGAATCCATCGGAGATTATTATGCCTGTGCTCGATTAGCGGGAGCGCCACCTCCACCCATCCATGCCATCAACAGGTAACTACAGCTATGAGATGTCTCAATGACGCGTTAAGGCGCTATATCAAATGCAAGCTTCATTGTTATTATTACTACAGTAAAACTCCCTTAAGTCTGATCTGTATAACCTGTATGATTGCCTAAGCCATACTTCTGCCTAAGTCCTGTTGAATTTCCTATTGTTTATAATGTTTCACATAACTCATACTTTGCAGAAGTTACATTCAATGTATGTTCCCAACCTTATACGACATATGTGAGATTTACTGTACTTTGTTTAACAAGTAACTTGTTTTGAGCAATGATTAGACAAGCCGGAGCTCTTCAGTCTTGAGGGAAGACAACCCTGAATGGAATCTCGTAGAGGTGTATACATTTATAAATGAGATAAAAANGGTAAACCCAGATCCATACATTGGGATGAGAGCACTATTTCCAAGTTTGCAGATGATACAAAGTTAGTTAGGGTAGTAAATAGTGAGGAGGACTGTAACCAACTGCAAACAGACATACACAGAATGGTGGAATGGGCTGACATGTGGCAGATGGATTTCAATGTGGATAAGTGTGAGGTGATACACTTAGGTAGGAAAAATGATAGGAGGCAATATCGACTTGGTAGCTCAATCTTAAGGGGGGTGAACGTACAGAGAGATCTGGGTGTTCAAGTAAGCGAATCATTAAAGGTAGCGCGGCAGGTAGATAAGGCAGTAAAAAAGGCATTTGGTGTACTGAGCTTTATTAGTAGGGGCATAGACTATAAGAGTAGGGGTTATGGTTAATCTATACAAAACACTGGTTAGGCCTCAGCTGGAGTACTGTGTCCAGTTCTGGGCACCTTACTTCAGGAAGGACATTAAGCCACTGGAAAGGGTGCAGAGAAGATTCACGAGAATGATACCAGGAATGGGGAACCTTAGCTATGAGGACAGGCTGGAGAAGTTAGGACTTTTCCCATTAGAGCAGAGAAAGTTATGTGGGGACCCGATAGAGGTCTTCAAAATCATGAAAGGTTTTGACAGGCGAGATAAGGAAAAGCTGTTTCCGCTGGTAGGTGGGTCTGTGGTCACAGTCTTAAGATATCTACCAAAAGAAGCAGAGGGGAGGTTCGAAGAAATTTTTTCACTCAGCGAGTTGTTCGAATTTGGAATGATCTGCCTGAAAGGGTAGTGAAGTCCGATTCGATAACTGCTTTTAAGAGAGAACTGGATAGGTATCTGGAGAAGACGGGTTTGCAGGGTTATGGGGAGAAAGCTGGTTGATTGGGGTTAGTGAAAGTGACTTGCTCTGTCAAAGAGCCGGTACAGACTCGATGGGCCGAATGGCCTCCTTCTGTGCCGTAATATTCTATGAATCTATGAATCCCAAACCGATCTCGTGATCTTGTGATCTTTGGACGTGGCAGAAGGTCTTTTGACTGGAGCTTTCTCACTTCTAAAGTTGCTTCACCAGGTTTCAGTCAGTCACTGGGCTTGAGTCTGGCTTGAGTATGTCTATGGAGAGAAGAATCAACATTTAACACCTGGAGTACATAGGAACAGGAGGAGGCCATTCAGCCACTGGAGCCTGTTTTCTAAGATAAGGGCTGAGAGTTGGCCTCTGTTGCTCCTGTTGCTCGAGCGATTCCGTTTCTCTTCCAGGGGCATCTTCACCGAGGGGATCTCCTGTATCATTGCTGGACTGCTCGGGACAGGGAATGGTTCCACTTCATCCAGTCCCAACATCGGAGTGCTCGGGATAACCAAAGTAAATCTACTTCCCTTTCTTTACCTGATTAACGCTCCTACATGTGGCGCACTCTGATTTCAGTCTGTACACTCAGTGCTTAAAAGAAAATGGCTGCCTGTCAGCTCTTCAGGCTCATTGCCAGTGTCACTTCCTGCTGCCCGTTTGCTTTCTTTGGAGTCCTGTAGCTCAGTGGTTAGTGCGCTCGCCTCACAAGCGAGAGACCTGGGTTCGATTCCTGGCAGGGTGAAACCTTGGGCAAGTTTCCTTACTCCACAAGCCTCTGTTTACCCAACAGTAAGTAGGAATCCGGTTGTGAGTCTCTTTTCCGGAGCTAATAGTACCTTCAAAAGAATAATAATAATATATTAAATTGGTCACTCAATCCATGACTGTTTGTGGGACGCTACTGTGCGCAATTGCCTGCCACGGTTCGCCCACAAAATATACAGTCAATTCACTTTACAGTATATTCTGCGAAGCGCTTTGAGACATCTTGAAGACGTGGTAAGGTGCTGTATCAAATGCAAGGCTTATTATTATTATTTAGAGCCAGAAGACTGTGTCTCGCATTCTTTCCTTCACTGGGCTCTGCAAACCCATCAGCTCCCCCTCACATTCCCTGCCCTATCCCCACCATCAAAGGGAGGGCTATCAGACACTTTGCTTCCGGCCTCTGGAACTCTTGTACAAAGTCCCTCCTTTGCTGCTTTCAAAAACGCGTCATAAAAAAAGAACTTCTCTCATTGACTTGCCTTACACTCTCGCCCATCCATTGCCCTCAACTTGCTACATATACAGCGCCCTTCACATGGGTTATCGTCTCGGACCGCTTAATAGCAGCTCAGTTGGATGCTGAGCCGGGGAGAGAGAGGGGAGGTGACGGGAGACATCCTTCTGATGTGAAACGCGGTGTAAGTGCAAATTGTTGTTTTACAAGCTTCAAAACAGATTAAGAGAGAGGAAAAAAAATCTTTTCATTGCTTGATCGTTTTCACAGGGATAGTGTTGCTAAGGGCAAACAATGCCTACAGCAAAGATTATACAAGAGAAGTGGCTTCATTCAGCGCAGTTACTTCCGCCTGTAGATTCTTTCTCTCTCTATATATATAAAGATCTACAAGGATTAAGGTTAAGAAAATGACATTATATGTGCACACACTAGTGTGGAGAACATGCATCAAGTTAATAGCATCCATCCAATCTGTTCCATAATCTCAGCAACCAAACTGTCAGCTGGAACAATTCACTCAAGGGAGGTGTATTTCCGAACAGCCAACAGATTAAATATTGATGTTGCAGTATTTAATATAAAAGTTTAACCTAACGGGGCCTGAAAAGTTTCCCTCATCACTGAATGTATTAATGATTTATCATCAGCTCTGTAATAGGCACTTACGTTTATGAACCCAACACAATTTCAGATTCTGCCCCTTGACTAATGGTCACATTTCCAAGGTATCGAGCTAGTGAAGATAGAGGAAAGCCTTGTACAGCATTAATTTGTACAGGATTAATTTGTGAAGTCCTGCAGTGTAATGGTTAGAGAACTCGCCTCGCAAGCGAGAGGACCTGAGCAAAAGCTTAGGCAGGTTTCCTTACTCCTCACACACACATCTCTGTTTACCGAGCAGTAGGTAGGAACGTGGTTGTCAGTAAATTGGTAGATCGCTTTCTGGGGGTAATCATCTCTTACAGAAAATTGGTCCAACAAGCCACAACTGTTTGTGGGGACGCTGCTGTGTGCAATTGGCTGCCACGTTTTGTCCACAAAATATACAGTCATTTCACTTCACAGTATATTCTGTGAAGCGCTTTGAGACGTCTCAACGATGTGATAAGGCGTTATATCGAACAGAAGGGTTATTGTTACCGTTATTATAAATAGCTACAAATCCCAGCACACCATGATATTTTATTGGGCAACGTCACGGCTGATAAGTTCCGCTGAATATCGTGCACTAGAATGCTTCTTATCTGCAACGTCTGCTTATCTGCAAAGGAGCCTGCCTGCCCGCCTGTCTGTCTGTCCGTCCACCTGGCCAGTCTCCGCCATGCCTCATTCCTTTCTTTCTGCTTCTCTCTCTCTCTCTCTTTCTCTCTCTCTAAGCGCTCTGATATGCTGCCCTGCGTGAAGGGTGCTATATAAATGCAAGTTGTTGTTACTTCCCCAAGATTGGCAGCAGGAGAGTGGTGCAGTACGGAGCGGTAATCATGCTAATTCTGGGCACCGTGGGCAAATTCACAGCCCTGTTTGCATCACTCCCCGACCCCATTCTGGGGGGGATGTTTTGCACGCTGTTCGGTAAGTAAGAAGCAAAGTGAGGCTGAGACACGATCATTCAGGTCGAAATAAGAGTTATAATTCATTTCGGGTTTCGCGGCCTGGGTTTAATGCAATAATCTGAAGCCTTTAGACTGTATTGTCTCCTTGCAACTCCCTGCATATCGATTCCTTTCATAATTCTATTACCAAAGCAGGTTGCCTGAATAGACTTTGTTTAATTGATAGATATTTGCATTTAATTCATTACTTTTGTGCTTTCTATTCTATTGGCGTTCCCTCACTTGCTCGGGTTACTGTTTTTTAGTGCGTTGGCGCTCGTTTGATTTGATTTAAATGAATTGCCTTGTTGTCATTTATGGTGCTGTTATTCGCTTAATACCCCTACCATCTCTCATCACCACCCAGGAATGATCACAGCTGTTGGACTTTCCAACCTCCAGTTTGTGGACATGAATTCGACTCGTAATCTTTTTATCTTGGGATTCTCCATGTTTTTCGGTTTAACGTTGCCAAATTACTTGGAAGCGAACCCCAACAGTATCAATACAGGTACGTTAAGAATGCGACATGAATACCAGTTGGTTGTTATTTGATACTCGACCTATCGGCAGCATTCGATACGGTCGACCACGCTATCCTCCTCCACCGCTTGTCCTCCCACCTAAACCTTCAAGGCCCTGTCCTTGAGTGGTTTAGGTCGTACCTCTCCCACCGTCTTCACTCTGTTTCCACGAATGGTTTTTCCTCCAGCCCCCGCACTGTCTCGCGCGGTGTCCCTCAGGGCTCTGTCCTCGGTCCCCTCCTCTTCACCCTCTATATGCTCCCCCTGTGGTGACATCATCCGCAGACATGGAGTTAACTTCCACATGTATGCGGATGACACCCAACTCTACCTTTCCTCCTCTACCCTCAACTCCACGACCACCGATGTCCTGACAGCTGCCTGTCCGACATCGAGTCCTGGACGAGAGACAACTTTCTTCAGCTCAACGTGCGTAAAACTGAGGCCCTCCTGATTGGCTCACGTCAGCGCCTCCGCACCTCAGGCGCTGACAGCATCAGCATCCAAGGCTGCACTCTCCACCTCTCAAAGCCGGTCAGGAACCTCGGTGTTCTGTTCGACCCTGAGCTGTCCTTTCTCCCTCATATCCGCACCACAACTGGCACCGCCTTCCATCACCTCCGGAATGTCGCCAGACTACGGCACTACCTCACCCCTCACGTGGCTGAAACTCTGGTCCACGCCTTTATCACCTCAAGGCTGGACTATGGGAACTCTCTCCTCGCCGGCCTTCCCGGCCCTCCCTCCACACTGCAGGTCATTCAGAACTCTGCAGCTCGTGTACTGTCCCGCACCAGGCTTCGCGACCACATCACTCCCACCCTCGCTCGCCTCCACTGGCTCCCCATCCCCCAGAGGATCGATTTCAAGATCCTCATCCTCACCTACAAGGCCATTCACGGCCTCGCTCCCTCCTACCTCTCCGACCTACTATCCCCCTACCTACCTGCCCGTACCCTCCGTTCCTCTGGCTCCGGTCTGCTCCACATCCCCCGCCCCAACTGCCCTACCATCAGTGGCCGGGCCTTCAGTCTCTCAGCCCCGAGGTTCTGGAACTCCATCCTCCAGTGCCTTCGCCGCTTCCTCCCTTTCCACCTTCAAGGCCGGTCTCAAGACCATTCTCTTCGACCGTGCCTTCAGCTCCCCTCTCGACTCTCTACCCCCTCCTCGCTCCCTCCCTTCCCTTCCCTCACCCTGACCATTTCCCCCTTGCTCGGGTCCTGACCCAACTGTCCAGCGCCTTGGGACGTCCTCCCGAAGTGAAAGGCGCTCAATAAATGGAATCTTGTTGTTGTTGATAGGATTTTGCAATCAAATATACAGTATTCAATCACCAATGACTGCCACATCTGTTATTGTAGATTCCATTTAATTTATCACTATTAATCAATTAATACTAATTAATCAATATTAATTAGTAATAATAATCCAAAGCATTTGTATATCCTTTCAAAATAATAATAATTTGGTCACTCAATCCACGACTGTTTGTGGGACGCTGCTGTGCGCAATTGGCTACCGCATTTCGCCCACAAAATATACAGTCAATTCACTTTACATTATATTCTGTGAAGCGCTTTGAGATGACTCAATGATGTCCTAAGGTGCATTATCAAATGCAAAGTTTATTATTATAGCGCCTTACCATGTCGTGAGACGTCTCAAAGGGCCTTGCAGAATGTATATTACATTAATATAGTAATATATTAATGCCTTACAAACAGCCATGAAGCAAATGTATGATTGTATCTAAGGAGCGATTGTTGGCCAGGACACACTGACCGGGAGAGAGAAACTCCCTTCTCTTTCTCCAGAAGTGGATTGGAATCTTTAATGCCCACCTGAACAGGCAGATGGGACCTCGGTCAAAACGTCTCATCGGAGAGACTGATTAAATATATCTTATCTGAATGGCATTGCTTTTTACAGGGAGGAACTTTCGCGATATTTTCCACAGCCTACAATCATGATGACTAATGTTGGAGAATGTAGAAGCGATAACCCAAGTTAATTATCATTTAATGACTAGTGTAAATAACCCACTTGAAGATGCAAATATGAATATGTCTGAGCTGATAGGGCAGCCGATTAATTACCTGTAAAGTCATTTTGCAGAGTTTAATTTTAAAATTCATATTAGCAATAGGATTTATTTCTCTGATCACAGCCAAAATCACTCCATCAGCTTCCTGGCAGAGTGTGCGCTCTTCGTTTGTGTATTTGATAGCACACTCGCCTCTGAGTCAGACAGTTGTGGTTCAAATCCCCCACCCATGTCTCACAGTCTAGGCTATCGCTCAAGCTCAATCTGGGGGGGAGCGACGCATTGTAAGAGGTGCCGTCCTTCGGATGAGACGTTAAACCAAGCTCTGTGCCTATTTAGGTGGACGTTACAAATCCCATGGTACTCTTTGAAAAGAGAAAGGAGTTTCTCTCTCTCTGTCTCTTCCGGTTTCCTGACTGACAATGCCCCTTAAAATAAAATGCTCACTCATTCCATTGCTGTTTGTGTGACGTTCCTGTGTGCAAACAGGCTGCTGGGTTCACCTGTAACATACACAGTCACTACACTTTACAATATATCTTGCGAAGCACTCTAAGAAGTCCTCCTGATGTGAGAGGCGCCATATCAAATGTAAAGGTTATTACTTTTTTAAAAAAGCCGGAGAATTTATTCTCTCTTCATTCCTCTGTTTTTCGGGGATCATTACAAAATATTTCCGTAACATTTGATTTACAAGATTCAGGCTCGAACCTCTGTCTCTTGCAGGAATCCCCGAAATTGACCAGATTTTGACCGTGTTGTTGACAACAGAAATGTTTGTGGGCGGCTGCATTGCTTTCGTCTTAGATAATACAATTCCAGGTAAAATATATTGGGAGCACATCTCAAAGCGGTGTATACACACAAGGTATTTGTAACTCCAGTGTAGTGCTGGGGGCGGTGGGGGGGTGGAGTGCTGCAGTGTCAGGCAGGCCATCCTTTGGATGAGACATTAAACCGAGGGTCCACGTGAAAAGAGAAGGAAATTTCTCTCTCTCTCTCTCACCCACTCACCAACTCATTCACTCACTCACCCACCAACTCATTCACTCACTCACCAATTCATTCACTCACTCACTCACTCACTCACCCACCCACCCACTCACTCAGGTTCTGGCTGACAACAAAACAAAATCAGTCATTCACTTCACAGCTGTTTATGCGACATTGCTGTTCGGGCCTTCGGCTTTTCTGCCCCACCCTCTGGAACTCCATCCAAATCCCTCCACCTCGCCTCCTTCAAGGCCTGACGTTCCTCTTTAACTGCTTCTTCAGCCACACTCCCACCCCCACTCCACCAACCCTGCACCCCTCTTGATTACAACTCCCAGCTCAGATGCAAACCCTTAATTATCCAGCACCTTGGGATGTCCTCCTCACATGAAAGTCTATAGCTATATAAATGCAAAGTATTTTTTAGGAAATAAGAAAACTTCGACGAAAGAGGACCAAAGTCCATCCAGTTCGCTTTCCACCATCGCATGCACATGTCATGTCCCAAACTGTACAATGTATCTCACGATATTATTTCCTAAAAGAAATCTATCGAATTTGCTTTTGAAAGAATCAACACTTTCCGCTTCCATTGTCTCGCAAGTGAGCCTGTTCCATCCATTTACTACTCGCTCACTGAAATAGTGTCACCGCAGATTTGTTTTGAATGTGCCCCCACTTCAATGTTGTTGTTGTTGTAGTAGCGCTTGCGTTACTCTAGCGATGTGTTCTGTCATTGCCGCAGGGACGAAGGAGGAGCGTGGGCTGGTGCAGTGGAAGGAAGGAGCGAACGCAAACAGCGACACCTCGGCAGATTTGAGGACATACGACTTCGCGATCGGGATGAGCCTGTTGAGGAGAGCTCCGTGCCTGCAGTACCTCCCCATCTGCCCCGTGTTCAAGGGCTTCCATTTTAGGAACAGAAACGTAAGGGACACGGACGAACAGGGCAAAGGAAACTCCGACGGCCTTGTGGTTTGCACCAGAGTATAGCTCGTGCACTCACTCCTGGAGCCCTGACGGAAAGAAGATTATTGTCTTCCTTTTACCTAAGCTGTGTCATCAGCGAGGACCTTGCAAAGCTGACCTCAACCAAATGCTCTCTGCACGGCTTAAAGGAAACTCGTTCTCTTTTCAGTGAGTCAGTCTGGACACCGAGGTTATCTGACGCACCACACTCTTTTCTCTTTGCCACCCACCTACCCACCCACCTCAGACATCAATTGTACACAGTTTTAATTGCTTGGCTGTGGCAGCAATCATTGTCAGAGGTTCGTCGAGAAAAGCTTCAAGGTTGCATCACGTGTTGACAAGAGGAGTTAATAAGAATACAAGACCGCCTTTTTCAAGCTTTCAATCCCAGGTCTTTGTTACATTATTTGTTGTACATCCCTCATTGCAACTGTGCTGAGGGTATACAGCTCTGTCCCATTGGGGGAGGAGAAGCACAATTTAAAAAAAAACCATCACGTAACAATCAGGAGAGATTTCACCCCAGCAGCAAGGAGAAAGAAAACCAGAGACATTTACTGCACAGAACAGGTCCTTTCTGCCTCCGCTGTAGGCTGGTTTAACCAGCTGGGGGGACAGAGGAGGTCGGGCAAATCAACACTGAATTGGTAAAATCCCGTCTTTGGGATCCTGTTACCAACGGAAAGCCTTTTGAGATAAAAATAATACTAATAAAAATGATAATCCTTACGTTTGATATAGCGCCTGATCACGTCTTTAAGACGTCTCAAAGCACTTCACGGAATATACTGTAAAGTGAATTGATTTGACTGTGTATTTTGTGTGTGGGGGTGAAAATTTTGTGGGCGATCTGATTTTTGTCACGGTGGGGGGTGGGGGACAGGAAAATCAAATGTACATCTGCGATTTTTTGTTTGACTGTTTTTGACGTGGAAATATTTGAGCGATACATCAATAAATGGGGTCTCCGATGGGATGTCTGTGGATCCTGGCTTACACTAGCCACAATCTCCCCTGATTTATGTTTCACAGCGAGTGCCCGAGTGAAATGCTGTGGTGACAAGCCCTGGACAAAGCAAGTGAAGGATTTGGGGGTTTTCAGTTCTTATCAGCCATTGAGCGAATTAAACTTGAAAGAAGGGCGTTCCTTTAATCACAAGCCTCGCAAATGTGTTGGTTAGAGCAGGGCAGAGTTTAAGTGGTGCCTGTTTTTGTACCACTGCATTGGATTCCATGTCTCAGCCTCACTCATTCCATTCCCAAATGGTAACGTTCACTCGCATCTGTGTGCTTTACAGATACACCATGTGTTAAGCGCTATTGATCTTCAATGAAAACCTATTCACCTCCACAGAATTCTAGCAATTTCAGGATGGGGAAGTGTTTTTTGACACAATGGGTAATTAATGACTGGAACTGGGGGGAGGTGAAGGTGGTTGAAGCTAGGACGCTGGGATTAATTTAAGAAATAGCTCGATGATATGATTCCCAGATGGGAGAATGGATTTTCTGAAAGAATATCCAATAACAATCCTCATGTTCTATACAGCGCCTTATCACAATGCCTAGACATCTGAGGATCTTCACTGTGTAGTATTTGCAGGCAAACGCCGTGGCCAATTTGCACACATCAAAGGTCGTGAAGAGAGTGACCCATCTTAATGGGGGAGAGGGGAGGGGGGGATTCGCTGATCAGGGCACCAGGGAAGAGAAGAGATCCAAGGTGGGTTGAAGGGAACTTTCTTCATCCAAATCAAGCAGATATTGAGAGCACAGTTAAGACCCATAAGGTCGTGGTTAGCATGCTTGCCTCGCAAGCGAGTGGACCTGGATTCAATTCCTGGACAGGGCAAATTCAATTCCTGGACTTTAGACTAGTTTCCTTACTCCACACGCCTCTGGTTACCTAACAGTAAGTAATAATCCGGTTGTTAGTTGATTGGTGGATCGCTTTCCGGGGGGTAATAATCCCTCCAAAAAAAAATTTGGTCACTCAATCCACGAGTGTTTGTGGGACACACAATTGGCTGCGGGCGTTTTGCCCACAGAATGCACAGTCACTCCACTTCACAGTGTATCCTGTGAAGTGCTTTGAAAATGTCTCAACGACGTGATAAGGCGCTACATCAAATGAAAGGATTATTATTGTACCACAGAGCATGCTGCGTTTTAACTCTCTTCTGTTAAGACTGATTATCATTCATTAAGCGGGGCATGGAGTTGAGGGAGGGAACAACCACATTGTTAATTGTTTAGGACCTGAGCTCCAGTCCATAACTGACTTGCAGCTATCTCAGCTGTGCTGCGAGGGCCCCTTTATGACTCGCACCAAATCATTTTGAATTCTACAAGGTCACATCAACTAAATGCTGCTGCTTTGAGGTTTTTTTTCCCTTTAATTCTTCAGCTAACATTCGGCTGCGCTGTAATGTTCGCTTTTGCGGAGTACTGTAGTGTAGTGGTTAGCGTACTCGCCTCGCCATCGAGAGGGTGCTATGTAAACACAAGTTGGTGTTGTTATGTACAAGGTGTCCACAAAGTCCCGTTACCCCCCAACCCGTCCTCCCCCAGTGTTTTTTTCTTACAGCGCACTGACCAACAACTGAAACACGTGGAAGAATGATGCTGATTGTATTTAGAAGTACTTAATTGTATTCAGTACAAGTATTTGACTGTATTTTGACATCCAGAAGATCGGTGTGTGGGTGTGAGCGCCATCATTTTCACGGCATCCGTCGACATGTTCAGTGCCTCATCTTCCGTAACATTGATGGAGTGAGGAGGCGAAATGCATCTTTGACATCTTCAGCTCCTCTATAGCCTCATATCGCTGTTTTGTAACGGGGGGGTAACAGGACTTTGCGGATACCCTGTACTTGTGTTTGTATAGAGAGCTGGCTATAATGTCTCTCATTTTACCATGTAGGCGTTGCTTATTTTGGTGTCGAGCTTCCCGCGTGATGAGCTGAGGTTTGTGAGGAGAGGCCGGGGGGGTGGGGTGGGGGCACAGAGCCGAGTCGGGTAAGGATGCTTTGGCTGAAGACATGGCAAAGACCCAAGTTTCCTTCCGATTCCCAGCATCTCTATTGGTGAGTGTCACCCCTTCAGGGTGATTCCTACTGTAGACCTCAATGAAACATATTCTTCCTAAACCCTGACCGCCTCATTGCCAATAAGCCATTCAGAGCAGAATTCTATGCAACGCAGGTTGTGAATGTTTGTGTGGACCTTTGCGTGGGAGAGTCTGTGGTTAATTTGCATTGTAGCAACTTATGATACCAATGTTGCATGTTATACAGCAGCTGTAGTATATAAAGGTACATCATTTATTATTTTTTTAAAAATTTTTTAATTACAAGGATATTTGAAATGGGCTTTGAGATTAAGCATTTGTCTCTGATGCATACAATGGCTCCAAACACTGGGGGGAGGAGGAAGGGGGAATATATTTTTGAAGAATAATCACACAATGGGATATAAATGCCAGAGCTAACTGATGTAGTTTCCATGGTAATCCGCTTCAGTGTTCGGCCTGAGCAAAGTGTGTCCTAGGGTTACGTAAGAAGATTTTTCACGGCAATTTAACTGATCAATCTGAATTCCTTCATCACTCTTCCAACCTACTCTGTTCCCAATGTGACTTAATTGTCAGCCCTGGCTGAGGTAAAGTGCGCCTTCACAATAAGATAAATTGCCACATGTTTAGCTCATGATGCGATCGGGGTCTTGAACGTGTGATGTGAGGGTAGATAATAGTAATAATCATAATCCTTGCATTTGATAAAGCACCTTATCACGTCTCTGACAAGTCTCCCGCCTGCCTGTTCAGGTGGATGTTAAAGATTCTGCGGCGCTATTTGAAAAGAGAAGGGAGTTTCTCTTTCCCGGTGTCCTGGCCAACAATCACCCAAATAAAATTTGTCACTCACTCCATGGCTGTTTGTGGGACACTGCTGTGCCTGAATTGGCTGCTGTGTCTCACCCACAAAATCCACAGTCAATTCACTTTACAGTATATCCTGTGAAGCGCTTTGAGATTTCTCAACGATGTGAAGGCGTTGTATTAAATGCAAAGAGTCTTATTATTGATGCTTGAGTTAGAAACATAGAAAGATAGGAACAGGAATAAGCCATTCAGCCCTTTGAGCCTGTTCCGCCATTAAATTTGATCATGGCTGATCTGTATCTCAACTAAGCCTTTCAATTCCAATTTTCCGCTTTCTTCCCTGACCTACTAAAAATCTATCAATCTCACTCTTGAACAACAACAACAACAGCAAAATTACATTTATAGAGCGCCTTTCACGTTGGGAGGATGTCCCAAAGCACGGAACAGTCAGGTGTCGGGGCCCAAGCATGGGGGGGAGGGGTGGTTTAGGGGTGCGGGAAGGCAGAGAGGTGGGAGGGAGACCAAAGGCACGGTCAAAGAGAATAGTCTTGAGACTGGCCTTGAAGGAGGTAAGGGAGGAAGCGAGGTGAAGGGATCATGGGATGGAGTTCCAGAGTGTGGGGGCAGAGAGACTGAAAACTCGGCCACCGATGGTAGGGTGGGTCGGGGCAAGACATGGAGCAGACCGGAGCCCGATAAACGGAGGGAGTGGGCAGGTTGGTAGGGAGTCAGCAGGTCAGAGAGGTAGGAGGGGGCAAGGTCATGGATGGCCTTAAAGATGAGGACGAGGATCTTGAATTCGATCCTCTGGGGGATGGGGAGCCAGTGGAGTCGGGCGAGGGTGGGAGTGATGATTGAAGGTGTGGATAGATCCAGCATCCACGGCCTTTTGGGGGAGAGAATTCCAGATTTCTACCACCCTTTGGGTGAAAAAATGCTTCCTGATTTCATTCTTAAATGGCAGTTGTTCTCCTGGAGGGAGAGGAGTAAGCTGTTAATTGTTGACAGAAAAGGGCCCGAAGACTGTGAGAAAGATGCAGGAAAGCTGAACTGCTTCTGTTTTCAGTGACGTCCTGCCTTTACTCCACCGAGAGCAACTTGTGCCAATTAACCAAATAATGACGTTGCGTAACTCCCGGTCGATTAATCTCAGAACGTGTGTCAGGTGCTCGCTTCTATCCCCCATCTCCTTCTCCTCACTCATGATATCTTCAGATGTGCATTGCTTTGCCTTTGCAGCAGAGCTGACCATGGCCTGACCATCTCTTTCAGATGCTTTTGTGTAGAAGTCATCTGTAGTCCTGCAGCTCAGTGGTTAGAGCACTCGCTTTGCAAGCGAGAGACCTGAGTTCAATTCCAGGCAGAGGGCGAAACCTTGGGCAAGTTTCCTTACTCCACACAGAGCCTAATAATAATCCTCCAAAACCCAAAACAATAATAAATTGGTCATTTTCAATCTACGACTGTTTGTGGGACATTGCTGTGCGCAATTGGCTGCCGCGTTCGCCCACAAATATACAGTCAATTCACTTTACAGTGTGTTCTGTGAAGCGCTTTGGGACGTCCTCACGACGTGAAAAGCGCTATATCAAATGCAAGGATTATTATTATTATAATTATCTGCGAAGGAGAAATTAATGAAGAATCAATACAGACACTCCAGATTTTAGGCATTTTATACTAATAATCCTTGCATTTGAGGTGCGTCTCATCATTGAGACGTATCAAAGCGCTTCACACAATATACTGTGCATTTTGCAGGCAAAATGCAGGAGCCAGTTGCACACAGCAATGTCTCGCAAGCAGTCATGGATTGAGTGACCAATCTTTTTTTGAGGGATTAATATCCCCGGAAAGTGATCCATCAATTGACTAACAACCTGGTTCTTACTTACTGAAACAGAGGCGTGTGACCTAAGGAAACTTGCCTGAGGTCTTGTCCCACCCGGGAATCGAACCCGGGTCCTCTTGCTTGCAAGCCGAACATGCTAACCATTACAATAGTAATAATCATAATTGATCCTTGCATTGGGGGGAGAGAGAGAGAGACCTTTGACTTTTTACTTCTGCAGTTCTGTGTGTTTTTGTATTGATTTCTTCCCCCGTCCCAGATG